TACCCTCTAAGATGGCTTAAAAAAAATGAGCAATGAAAATACCAGGTGTTAGTGAGAACATGAGGCAACTGGAATTCTCATACACTGTTAGTGTGAACATAAAATGTACACACACTTTGTAAAACAGACTAGCAGTTTCTTATAAGCATATAACTAAGAAAAATATCTATACATAGACTTAAACATAGACATTCACAGACAACCTAATGGGCCTGACAACTAAGGGAGCACATGTTGTAAATCCCAGCTGGAGAACAGGACAAGTTGAGATGCGATGTCCCAGTCCAGGAAAGGAGACAGTAAAAGCAGGCAAGTTCCTTCTTTCTCTGCCTTTTTGTTCCATTCAGGCCCCCACTAAATGCACGATGCCCTCCTACAGTGGAGAGTAGCAAGCTACTTTCTGACTCCATCACTTCCAATGATAACCTCATCCAGAAACACTGTCTTGTAACACTTAGATAAATAATAATGTTTAATCTGGGCACACCATAGAAGTTGAAACATAAAATTAGCCATTACAACATAAAAAATGTTGGTGAGGATGTGGAGAAACCACTCCTCCATTGCGGGTGGAATGTGAAATGGTACAGCCACTGGGGAAAACAGTTTGGCAGGTTCTTTGAAAAGAAAAACGTAACCTAGGAATTGACCTAGGAATTGAATTGCTAGGCATTTATCCAAGAGAACTGAAGACATGTTCATGCAAAAGCTTGTACGTGAAAGTTTATAGCAGTTTTGTGCATGATAACCAAAAGCTAGCAATAGCCCAGATGTCCTTCAGCAGGGGGATGGTTAAGCAAACTATGGTGTATCCATAGCATAGAATGCTACCCAGCACTGATTAGAACAAACTGTTGATACAGGCAACAAACTGGATGGGTCTCCAGAGAACTATGCTAAGTGAAAAACACTAATCCGGAAGGGGTATAAACTGTACGGCTCCACTTCTATGACATTTCTTGAAATGACAAAATTATACAAGTGGAGAACAGGTTAGTGATTGTTGTGGTTAAAGAGTGGATGGGACGGGAGGGAAGTAGGTCTGGCTGTGAAAGAGCAAAATGAGGGCTCCTTGGGGTGATGAATTTAAATACCTTGTATCTTTGTCATAATCAGTGTCAATATCCTGCTGCTGATATTGTATAATTTTGCAGGAGGTTACCATTGGGGGAAACTGGGTAAAGAGTACGTGAGATTTCTGTATTGTTTCTCGCAACTGTACGTGAATCTACAATGATCTCAAAATCAAAATTTTAATTGAAAAGCACCGTGAAATGATTTCAGCCAAAGACTTGCAAGATCTTTACATAAAAATATTAAAGAAGAGCTGAGCATGTAAAGAGATACACCATGTTCTTGAAAAGAAGTCTCTGTCTTTAAAACATCAGTTCCCCACAGTAAGAGTTAATATAGGTTGGATATAAAGTTTATGTGCAATTTAAAACAGTTGTTAACTTTCAATTGCACACGAACTTTATGTGTGTGATCAAGTACAGGTTATTTTGAGAGCCTACCAGGTAATTCTAAAATGTATTCAAGGGAGCAAAGAGGCAAGGGTAAGTAGCAAAGAAATTCACAAAAGAAGAGTGAGGAGACTTACCTTACCATGTATCAATTAGTATAAAGCTATAGTATCTAAGTCACATCAGTGTTGGGGATAGAGCAGTGTTTTTCAACCTTTTTTATCTCAGAGCACACTTGAACCTAGAGTTAAATTTCTGTTAATCAAAAAAAAAAAAAGAGTTAAAGGAAAGAATGTACTTAGGGTGCTTTGAACTTCGTTCAAAAATAATATAATTAACAATCTTTAAAAGTTTTCATGGCACACCTAAGAACCTCTCATGGCACATCATTTGAAAATTGCTGCAACCGATGGAACAGAACCACCTAGAAACAGACCCATACCTGGACAGACACCTGACAAATTTGGTGTTGCAGATGAACAAGAAAGAGCTGGTCTGGCCACTAAGAGACTGGGATAATTGAATATTAAATAGGGGAAAAAGAAAATGGCTTCTTTACCCCATACTTAAATAACCAGTTATGAGAGGATTGAAATATGAAAAGAAACAATATTCTAATTTTTACTAAAAACTACAGAAGAGTATCTTTATGTTCTCAAGTTGGGAAATGATTTCTCAAACAAGGACTAACTACAAAGGAAAATATTAGTAAATTTTGTCCAAATTAAAAGGAAGAATTTCTGTCCATCAAAATATAGAAAAGAGTGGAATGAAATACAAAAATGAAAGAAGATATTTAAACAACTATAACCAGTAAGAGTAGTAACGACAATATTAGTATTTACAAAAAGTCAAAAAGAAAAAAAATCAACAACCAAATTCTTAAACAGAGCACAAAAGACCTCGTGATAGGTATCTGCATCAACAGATGCAACTAATCGACAGATGTATAAAATACGCTCAGCATTCTCAGCAATTATACAAATAAGGATTAAATTCAAATGAAACACATTTTATCATATTTGCAAAAATGTTTAAATCTAACAATGCGAAGTGTTGACAAAAATGTGGAGCAGTAAGAATCGATGCATACTATAGGCAGGGAAGTAAAATGGGTAAACCCTCCTTTGAAATCAGAAATTGGAAAGCAGTGGCATCATTTAGTGAAAAAAGCAGATAAGCTGGCCACACTACCCTACAGGTTCCTTCCTAGCATACGTCCTGAGAGCCTCTCGTACCTGTGCATTGGGCGGTAAGTTTGAGAACGTTCACAGCAGCAGGGTTTGCTGCAGCGGGAAACTTGGAAATGGTCAAAATACCCATCAAAGGCCTAGTGCATCAGTAGACTGACATAGACGTATAAATGAGATATCGTACAGTAGTGAAAAACAACAGACATCGGCTAGCTAAATAATGCTGAGTAAAAAAGGGGAGGGGAGGTCACCAAAGAGCAATTTTATCTTATAAAAACTTAAAGTAATCTGTAAAGGCAAAACTATTAAGAAAAGCAAGAAAACAATATAACTAGTTAGGCGAGGGGGCATGGAAGAGATGCCTTTGGAGAGATACACACCAGGACTTGAAGATTATTGCATATTGTTCTAATTCTTTTTTTTTTTTCCTTTTTAAAATTTATTTCAGGTTAATGTAAGGGTACATGCAACCGGGCCAAAATATTTGATTTTGTTAGGTAGAGTTCATCTTGTGGTTATGTCCCACACACAAAGGGTATGCCAATTGCCCCCCAACCTCCTGCCCATTCAGTGAGAGTAGCACCCTACCCCCCTCCCCCTCCCTCATTATTCCTCCCTCCAACTAGAAATGAAAGGCGTTTTTCTCCTATTTGGGTGTGCATTGGATCATCTACTAGCTTCATATTAGTATTGAGTACATTGGATATTTGCTTTTCCATTCTTGTGATACTTTACTAAGAAGAATGTGTTTCAACTCCATCCGGGAAATTACAGAAGATGTGAAGTCACCATCTTTTTTTATGGCTATGAGAGGTATGGCTTTATTATTATTCAAAGTGTACAGACACGACATATATGTCCTCTTGTAAATGTGAGACTTCAAGATAAAAATATGTAATATTTTTTATATCTAACAAGGCACCATGGAAGGCCCTGAGTAGGCTGATCAGCCAATGGACACAGGAAGGACAGGACAAAGGGAGAAAGCTCTTGCTGTGAACTGTCTGGGCAGGTAGGTGGGCTAGGCTGGGGAGGTGGCAGGAATTATGGGTGGTGTGGAGGCACAGGACTGGCTGAGGTCAAGGAGGGGAGGGAGGGCCAGGGAACTGGAAGGTTTAGAGACCCATGAAGGCAGGGAGGAGGCAAGCAAGATGAGAAAGGAGGAAGGTGGGAAGAGAGAAGCAAGGGAGAAAAAAGAGCAAAAGAGAGAAAGAAGGAAAAGGAGAGAGAGAGAGGAGAGAGAAAGAAAGGGAGAAGAAAAAGATCCAGGGAAGATAAGACATCTTGAAGACCCTCTATGGGTCAGTGAGGTCCTGGTCCCTTTCCCTGGGCCCCCAGTTGCTGAACGACCTTGAATAAACCCCTCCATCTCTCTATGCCATAACTTCCTTGCTTGTGACAAAGTCTGTGAGGTTGGGGCTGCAACAGGCCCCTTTGGACATCTCTGCTGTTCTCATGTTAGCTATGGGATCTGCATGCTTTTGGCTATTTCCTTGAGGTAAGAGAAAGTTGTAACAGCCACAGAGTACCAGTTGGGCAGGTTGTGCACTGTGCAATCCCAGAAGACGACATTTACAGTGTAGTCTCCATTATTAGCTGTTAGTGATCACATTTATTAAGAACACCATATGCCATACACTTTATTTCACTCAATTCTTAGGTTTTGCTACCCTTATTTTACAGAATAGGAAATCTAGGCTCAAAAACATAACTAACTTGAAAAACAAAGTAGAGCTAGGATTTAACCCCCCTTCTTCCCAGTTCCAGAGTCGGGAGCACCCCGGACTCTGGGTGTAGAGTTAGCGTTGACGGCCGGGTCCCCCTTACCCTGGTCCTCAACGACCAGGGCAAGGCATGTCAGCTTTAGGAGAGGACTGCCCACAGCCCCTGGCGCGCTGAGCTCAGCTGCACGTATCTGGGTGTCGACGGCGCTGGACTTGGGTTGCAGGCTGGTTCTTCCACAAACTAGAGGGACGACTTTAGGCCTCAGTTTCCCCATCCAGCCCACACAGGCAGAAGACCGTAGGCGCTCAAGGGTTGTTTGGCCCCGCCCCAAAGGGTGGGGCTGGTAGTGGTCACGTGGAGGGAAGCCTAGTTCCCCCGAGCCCCGCCCCGCGCCAGGGACCCTCCGCCCAGTCGCGGTCTGGAGCTTCGTGTCCAGAACTGGTCTGGGGCACCGTAAGGACTCTGGAGGAACCCCCACGCCAGGGCTGGCGTGGTCACCGCCGCCGCTAAGGGGGCTCAGGCGCGCTTGCTCACTGATCCGCCAGCTCCCGGCCAGCTGTGCAGACGGCTGGACCAGCAACAGCAACGAGGACTCGAGCGCAGGCGGTAGCAGCGACACCATGGATCTCTCCTTTATGGCTGCGCAGGTAACGGAGCCCCTTCGCCACGCGCCCTGGGCCACCAGGTTTGGGGGGGTTTGGGGCCACAGTCTTTCCCTCTCCGCCGGACTGGACTCACCCGCAAGGCTCGGGTTGAGCAGTGGCGCGCGCCCGGGATCCTCTTCTGGTTCTTTGTCCCGAGCCGGGCACCCCCACCTGGTGCTCGCGTCGTGGGCGGCGAGCTCGGGTCTCCCCGGGTGGGGCTGACGATGCGCCCTGCGCGCCCACAGCTCGAGCTGTTCCCACCCAGGTGCCAGGAGGCTGGAGGAGCCTGGACAGCCCGAGTCGCACCCTCCTTGCCCATCCCCCACTTGCCATCCCTCTTTCTGTGTCCCGGAGCCCTCCAAGACTGGGACAGCCCAGACTCGCCTGAACATGAATGGGTGGACAACCTACCTCTTCTGTTTTCCCGAGGCGCCGATAATTTATCACTTGCCGGTGACCTCGAACGCCTCCCTCACCACTTGTCACCTCTGTGAGTGGGGCCCAAAGCCCCGGCCGCCTGAGGAAGGCTGTGAGACCTGTGTTGTGTGACCTGCCAAGCCTATAAGCGCGCCTGTCGTTTTATCCCTTTTTGCTTTGTGCTGAGGCTAATTAGCCAGCAGTGCCTAGTGCGACCATCAGCCTTCCCTAGACACGAAACAGCCTCCCAATGGCAGGAAAAACAAATGACCTCTCTCTGCTTGGACCCCTCCCCCGGAGAATCCCCTTGAGTTCTGAGCGTGGGTGGTCAATGTGTTTCTGTGCTTTAACTCTCTCTGAGCCAGAACAAAGATGAACATCCAATTTCTCCATCCTTTGTAGGAAGACCCAGTGCTAGCCACAGTGTAGCTCGAGGGATGGGCTGCCTGCGAATGGTTTGGAAGAATAAGTCCCTTTATACCAAGTTCAGAACTTGCGCCTCCTCTGGTCGGGAGCAGATAGGTAGGAAAGCCTCCCAGGCTCCCCTTCTGTCTGATGGGTGTATGGCAGGGACCCCACTTACTGCTGTTGTCTTTGACAGGGAATGAAGTTTGAGGGGACACTTTCCTCTTCCCCAAACTTCACCAGTGGGGGAAGGAAGCCTCTCTACGAAGTAACAGCAAAATCCAGACTGTATATGGGGACATCGAGTCCCCAACAGGCATGAAAAGGATGTAGAACCCTCAAGGTGGCTTCAAGGAACCCAGATGCAGGCTCTTTGGCAGCCTCCTAACAAGTTTTCAATCATGCTAATTGTTCTGAGTATCGCTGGCCCCTTTTTTCCTGATTTTTTGTCTCCTGTTTCTGAACCCATGCTTATAAATATTACTGTGTAATATCAGTAGACATCAGGTGGTGGTGACTTTAGCCTCATGATAACTGAGGAGGCTTTCCAGAATTTATTTCTAACGGGAAGAAGAGTGTACACAATGTCTCTGCCTCCCCCTCTGGATCCCACTGCAATGCTTGAGTTTCCATGGTTACAAGATAAATTGATCATTGCTAAGGGGCTGGCTAGAGCATCAGGGGTTGCCATGGTAATTTGATAAAATAAACAGGGCTTTGTAGTGCCTTCGGCAAAACCTGCAGACACTGGGTTCTTATTTTTCTTTTTTGTGAAATTCACATTCCACTAGGTCAACACATTCCCCTTGATGTTTGGCATTGATTACACGTTCAGTACAGTGCTGGCCACGAGGGTCGGAAACATGAAGTGCCACACAGACGGGAACAAGTGCTGAGGTTGGCTGAGTACCTACTGTGTGCTAGCCTCTGGGTACTTGAGCACTTTACTACAGGAAATCCTTGCAAGTCTGTGATGTAAGCCCAGCTTTATAGATCAGGATACTAACCTTCAACAAGATTAAATAATTTACCCAAGGACACACCATTAGTAAGGAGAGCTGGGTTTCCAATTGGGACCTGAGTCTTTTCCCATCTTTTATCCCAAGAAAGTCACAATATAAGGCATAGGACAGACATGTTTTGAAATAGTTCATCTCTTCTTCCCCCAGGAAAGTGATCCTGCTATTGTGTCTCTCTCTCATGAAGCCCTGCTGGTTAGTGGAGAGCCTTCTGGTGTTTGGTCTGTCCTGCGTATCCCTGTCAGGGTGGGAACTGCTACTTCTATCTGCGGCACTTAGCAGTGCTTGGCCAGAGAGAGTGCTTAGCACCTGCTCTGGGTATGCACAAGGACCACCACCTGTGTTTGACAGTCACAGTCACTACCCCTCACTGCATTCTGTCCCAGAGAAATGTTAGTGGACCTTCCCAGTTCCTCAGCTAGTGTTGAGTTTTTGCCTTGTGCCAAGCTCCATGCCAGGCACTGGAACAAGGATGCTAGGGGACAAAGTTGAAGGTGATATAGATTTTCTTTCGGGTGCTTATAGGGAATTGGAGAAATGACAGCCCAGGCCAAGACCTAGTGAGGAAATGGCTCATGTGATGGGATGAACAAGGAACCTGGCACATAGTAAGTCCTCAGCAAGTATTTGTTGAATGATTGGATGAAGATGATGCAAGCTGTGTGTTCATAAAAAGACACTAGTGGAAAAAGACTAAATTCAAGGTGTTAAATGCCCTCCCCATTAAACAGCTGTCATCATCAGGACTTTGAGAATGAAGGCTCTAGATGGGTTAGAATATAGGCAGATTTCCCCTGGTGGGCCTGGGAATAAGAGTATTCTAGGTGGAGCCACTTGGATGTAGGGCAGCCCAGACCCCTACAGAGAGCTGGGAGGCCTGGGGGCACAAGAAGACTGAGAGAGTGAGGCAGGGCCAGGTTAAATAAGATGCTGACTGTTGGGATGAGAAGTTCCCATTTAATCAGTAGGAATTGGGAGCCATTGCAAGTTATTGAGCAAGGGAATGGCACATGTAGTTGATACAGTTCCTTGGGAAGACCCGGTCCCAGTGGAGGATAGAAGCTAGAGAGATGGACAGAAGTGCAGGCTGGCACCATTAACTGATTAAGGTAATGAAACCAGATCCACATGACTCAGACTCCAAGCTCCCAAGCTGCTTCTCCTTCACCACGTCTTTAAATGTGATTCCTGTTTTCAGCTTAAGTCCCAGAACATATTAACTATTCTAGAAAGATTTTCCTCTCAAAAGCTGAGCATTAAAAAAGATACTCTATGTGAATGTATGTAATGACACCACTTATCAGCAAATCCTCCTAGGCAGGGGTAAACCCCCACACACACCCCTGCACAGTACGTGAGGCTGTGAGTGAGGATGTGGGACAGACTGTGGACTCTGAGAGTGTGAAGGTACAGCTTGAGGGTCCCATCTCACCTCTGAGCCCTGGAGACTCCCAGCTGCCCTTGCAAGGGAGCTGCCCAAGTCCACTCCACACAGCCCCTGGGCCCCTGGAGACTCTCAAGTGTGTGAACAGTGAAAGGGGGCATTGTTTCTCTATGGCTGGAAGTGGCCAGGAGGACGGTGCCACCTAGGCCCTCAGGAGGCTGGATAGAGGGGGAGGATCACAGACCTTTAAATCTGAGCCCTAAATCCCTGTGTCACTAGTGGGGTAGCCCGTGTCTAAAGACAGCCACCATCTAATCCTTCCCCCACTTCTGTACTCACTGGCTGCCCCACACCATCCTCAAGAGCTGTAATCTGATTTCCCTCCCTTTGAGTGGGGAGCTGGCCTTAGTGACTTTCTTGGCCAGACAAATGCAGTAGTAGTGACATTCTGGAATTTCTGAGCTAGGTCCTAAGGAGCCTGCAGCTTCCACCTGGGATTGTGGCAAGCTTGCCATGCAAGATGTACAGCAATACTGAGGCTACTGTGCTGGGGGAAGGGAACAAATACTTAAGGAACCTTCAGCATGCTGGGCCAACACCAGTTACAGGGGCCTGGGACAGACAGCAAAGACAGGCGTGCTCATTCATTCACATGTTCTTATGGCATCACCTTCCTGCTATATAGCTCAGCCTCATTTTTGTTGTGCACTGTCCCATTCCTTTACTCACTGGTGTCTGTCTAGTAGTTCGCAAATGTCACTGCCATTAGAGTCACCTGGGGGCTTTTCAAGAGTTCTGCTGTCCAGGTTTCCCCCAAATAATCCCGTTGGTATCTGGGGTAGGAGCTGGGCATCAATTTTTGCTGATCATCCCCTAATTGATTCCCAGGTTTTGTCAAGGGTGAGACCCAGAGTATAAACCCACCCTATAGAGTTCTCCCCTCTCCCATCCCCAGAAGAATCTGATCCTTAGCTAGCTCTCTGGTCACTCTCAGGTCATAAAAACTCATGTGATCACTGGACACCACCAGATATAATATGGATTGTATAATTTAAAATATTTAAGCTGAGAATAATCAAACTTTGGAAATTGCTCGAAAATTGAAGTTCTCCTTATGGTATCATCACACCACCTTATACAGCAGTCCAAGAACTGGGGGGAAGGAAGGGTCCCTGACCAGGAATCAGCTTCAGAGAATCTTCCATCCTCTGATTACTACAAAATGTTGTATTTGTGCATATTTTTAAACAAAGCCATGAAGAGGCCTCTAATGGTTTCCTAGAGCTGCTGTAACAAATCATCACAAAGTGGATGGTTTACAACAATGGAAATGTATTCTCTCAGTTCTGGAGGCTAAAAGTCCACAGTCAAGGTGTCTGGAGGGGCATGCTCCTTCTGAAGGCTCTGAGGGAGAGTCTGGTCTGTGTCTCTTAGCATCACAGTGTTGCCTGCAGTCCTTGGCCTTCCTGGCTTATAGACCTGTCACTCTGATTGTTGCCTTTGTGATCATGTGACGTTCTCCCCATGTGTCTTTCTGAGTCTCTTCTTATAAGAGTATCAGTCATACTGGCATAGGCCCCAGTGACCTCAACTTGATTACATTTTCAGAGACCTTATTTACAAATAAGGACACATTTAAAGATACCAACAGTTAGAACTTCATCATATGTTCCAGGGGGACACAATTAAACCCATAACAGGGTCTAAGGACCCTTGTGTTAGTGGCCATTGGTCTTAGAGAGGCAGTGATCAGATCACTTTCATAAACCTTAGTTTCA